GGAGTTTACCTTTAAGATTTGTCTAGTTATCTATTCTAGCCCAGGGGATGGGGGTGTTCCTAGTCAGCAAAGCTAAGTTAACACTGAGCAACGTTTTTTTTTTTTTTTTTTATCTTGACCTTTACAATCATGTGTACAAAACTTTGGAGTTTGGGGGGTCTCGATGTGTCCTGTTATCTCAGGATGAGACCAGATGTCCCATTCTACAGTTAATGCCTCCTGTGTCTGTTAATTTTGAACTAAACAAGGCAGATTTCAGTTAGAAGAGCAGAAGTTATCCTACATTTCCTAACATTTTGTAGGTCTTTGGTTATCTGCAAAAGATTTCCCTATCAGGCTAGCAAGGGCTATATACATTGTTCTTTGCATCAGGTGAGCAATTTTTTAAGCAGAGCCTTAGCACAAAACCTGAACATAAAAACTCAAAATGGTAGCTGTGGTTAAATATCAATGGTTAAGTAACTTGCCAGAGTCATTCAGCTGGTGACTAAAAAAGCTGAGTTTTTTGTTAACTAACCAGTCGGACTTTAACTCTAATCACCATCCATGGCTCTGTATAACTGAATCCTTCAGGCTTAGGTAACTAAGATCAGGTTTCATATCTACTAGCCACTAATTCATTAAAGCAAATTATCTCTTGTTTAAGAAATGAACTTTTAAACAACTCAGGTCAATATTGACATAAGATTCATGGGAGAAATGTATTATTATCAGCTCCATGTCATTTTTAGTCAGTTTTCATTTTTTTTGAGACAGGGTCTCACTTTGTGGTGCAGCCAACTCACTATGTAGCCCAGGCTGGCCTCAAACTTGCAGTGATCCTCCTGCCTCAGCCTTCTGAATTCTGGGATTACAGGTGTGCACCACAATGTCCGGTTGCAAATTGTGAAATTTTTAATTTAAAAACTAGTATGGGCTGGGGATGTAGCTCAGTGATGGAGCCCTTGCCTAGGATGTGCAAGACCTTGAGTTTCATCCCATAGCAAAAAGCTGAAAGGTAAAAAGGAGCTTTATAATAAATACTTTATAAATTATAAAAATTCAGGGAATAATACTGTCACGCGCACCTCGCCAGCAAGGAGCACGCAACACTCAGGATTCTTCTGATGCACGCTTTATTGGAGTTTCTTCTACAATCTTCAATGGCGGAAAGACCCCGAGCCGGATGCAAGCCTGCTTTTATATCCACTCGGGCGTCGTGGCCTGTTTCTATTGGTCAATGCCAGCCTGCATCATTCTGACGAGCCAAGCGCCTCATCTGCACATGCGCAAACCACCGTCACCGGCGGACTCAAACCCGGAATTCATGTAGGGCATGAAGAACCCGGAAATAATGGCGTGTGACATCTCCCCCTTCCTTAAAATATCTAGAGCTCAGGAGGAGTCTGTCAGCCACCCCGGCCGGAAGGCGGCTGAAGCAGGTATTCCATGTGAGCAACTGTTGGATCACCTTGGCTCGTGCAATGAGGAGAACCTCTGAGCGGTGCAAAGGCTGATCAACAAGATTATAAAAGGACATGCCTGATTCTGGTGCAATGGACTAATCCACAGAGTGCAGAGGCCATGTCCAAGGAGGTGGAGAGATGTAGGTATTTGTGGCCTCCGAATGAGCAAGGCATAGGCAGATATTGACCAACGTTCAAGCTACTATTGTAAATTGGCCAACCAGGCAGCAGGCGAGTATCCGGCTTCAAGGGCAGCGAAAGCTTGCAATAACATGATATTATCATTTTGTCTCTGTCGTCTCATCTTACATAACCACCAAAATCCCAAAAACACTGCCAAAGCCAACAAAGCAATCATTGATCCCATTCCAGCCCAATCCTTCAGAATAGATACAGCACTTGCAATCCAATCAGATATACCTTGTGCAAAAACAATGTCTACTCGGGTAGAATTAACATGAGCAATGGCTACTCTCAATTGTCTAACCAATTGATCAAAACGTCCCGTCCAATTTGATGTCAAATATATAGAGAGTTCCCTAGATAGATTCGCAGCTCTTGACATATTATGATATTGTACAGGTGTAACACAGAGTCCTGGCATCCTCCACATACATCCTATTTGGGCCAATTGCCATAACACATCAAGTTGCTCTTGCACTAAATCAACCCTTTGATTAACAATCATTAACCCTCCCTTCAAATGGGCATTAATAGAGGCTTGCATATCGAGCGCAGAGGCTACATTGGCTGACAAATTATTCAAAGCAGTTGCGGTTTGTACTGACGTGGAAAGGGAGACAGCGGCTGCGGTCGCACCAGCGGCTGCAATAGTTATCGCCGATACTATTGCTGCCGTAATCTCAAAATCTCTCTTAGATCTTACAATACTCAAGGGATTCGTCACTTCCGTTGGCACAGGAATGAATCGAGGCATTCGAACAACCACAGCATGAGGAAATTTGGTAGCGTCCCAGCAGGATGCGTACCAACAAGTATCATTGGCACAATTCAGTTCCATAGTCTGTGAGAGAGTCACATTAGCCACAAGCCAAAGAAATGGTGGCCACACGCAAACTGGAGTGGGTGCGAAGGTGATGTTGCGCAGACCATTGAAGTGTTGTGGTGATGTTGATGGTCCTGTTGTTGGTGGTGAAAAGAACTAACCATAAGTAGGTGGAGCAGAAGAGAAGAGAGAATACCTGGACCAAAGGGTTATTGTCATAAACAATATGCTGGAAAACCTGCATGGTCAAACAATATAAATACATTTTGTATACCAGAAAAATAGCAATAATAATTATAATGAATTCTTATATCCTGTAATGTGGCTTTGTATCAACAGGATCTTCCCCCCCCTTTTTTTTTTAACAGAAAATAACCATCAGAAACATATTTATAATTCAGACCTTTGATAACCAACAATATTCCCAACAACATATTTAACAAGATGTATCTTTTTATAAGGCTATAAAAAATTATTTTGGTGGCTCCCATTAGTGAACAAAGATCAGAATAAACTTTCTGAGCAGCTGCTTCTTTATTCACCAACAGGAGCATATCCAAACTTGAAGGTTGTATTTAAATATCTTTTAAATTTTTTATTTGATCCTATAAAGCCAGGTTGTAGAAATCAACAATCTACTTGCATTTGACGTCATTCTGATCAAGAACATACAAACATCTTTGAACATTTAAGACAGACAAACATATAACACTTAAGACAGACAAACATATAAGACAATTTTAACGAGTGCACTCAGATGGTTTTGGCCAATTGAATTATCTTACTACTTCCTCTTTTTCGGGCGGCTCCCCTGAGGACTCCGACGCGGTCTCGGAGTCCTCCGAGGAGCCCTCCGAATTACTTTCCTTTTCTGCTAATGTTAATCTTTTTAGTTCATCTAGGGCAGGGTAGAGGCCCGTTGAGGCCTCAATAGGGCCGGAAATTTGGCTCCCTTCTTCTTGAGCTCCCATTATTCTCCGTTTTTGTCTAGACTTACTTCTTTCTTCCCTCTCCGTTTCTGATACACTGTCTTGATGCTCCCTAAACAATTTTTGTCCCTCCCGCACCTTATCATTGCAGCGCTTATCCTCCAAACAGGCTCTAATCATCTTCCACACTGGTAAAACCCCCGGTCTTAAGGTATTCTTATCTTTCTCTCGCTGGAGGTCTTTTCCTAATTTTTCCCAGGATGGGATCGTGAGTGACCCGGTACCGCTGAACCAGGGTGCCGCTCGATCCACTTCCTTTAGAAACCTTCTTAAAATTTTCTCCGATATTTTTAACTCCCTTTCCTTCAAAAGGCTTTGTAAGGCATAGACCAGTGATTGCGAAGTTGAATTGCCCATTTCTCCCTTATCTACGAAAGTGGGCGACCGACAAAGTTATCTACCTTTGATTTACGGCCAGTTTAAACCTCTTGGAGTGAACAAATTGAAACACCCGCCCACACCAGACAGCGTACCTCTCGGAAAGTTGGTGGATCCTCCCCTCCTGCGTCTCAGTTCTGAATCCTCCTGAAGTCAGGGGTCTCCGCTGATGCCGGCGATGATGCTCATCGCTCCCGGGTTTCGGCACCACTTGTCGCGCGCACCTCGCCAGTAAGGAGCACGCAACACTCAGGATTCTTCTGATGCACGCTTTATTGGAGTTTCTTCTACAATCTTCAATGGCAGAAAGACCCTGAGCCGGATGCAAGCCTGCTTTTATATCCACTCGGGCGTCGTGGCCTGTTTCTATTGGTCAATGCCAGCCTGCATCATTCTGACGAGCCAAGCGCCTCATCTGCGCATGCGCAAACCACGGTCACCGGCGGGCTCAAACCCGGAATTCATGTAGGGCATGAAGAACCCGGAAATAATGGCGCATGACATAATACATGATGGCTAAGCATCTTTGGAGAATCCAGAAATATGAACACATATTGAATATATTTGAAGAAATCAGGCCATTTTTGATATTTAAAGGCTGTCTTTGTTACTGTGTTGTCACTGGGACAAAATACCAGTTACTTGCAATTTAAGGAGGAAAGGTTTACTTTGCCTCACAGTTTCAGTTCATAGACAACTCCAAGGCAAAAACAGGATGGCAGAGGGGTGTGGGGAGGAAAAGCTGCTCAACTTATGGCATCCAGGAAGCAGAGAGAGAAGGGAGCTGGGAACAAAGATACATCTTTCAAGACTGTGCGCCTAGGTGACCCAGCTCTAACCATGCCTCACCTTACAGCGAGTCCACTATGAGCTCATCTTAGATCCAAATATATTGAGCTCATAAGTATTTTGGGCCAACTTTTAAAAACAGTAGCAAGGTAAATGACTACTATAGCATTATGTAATAAAACATACTACTATCGGAATAGGAGCCTTTATTGATCCTCTCTGAATTTTGTTATTGAATAAATCATCTCATATAGTTAAAAAGTCAAGATGGAAATTTAAAGTTCAAAGTAAAAACTTGGGTTACTTGTGGCTGATTTGGGGAAGACCAATGCCAAATTTCTTTCTTTGTGCCATTTAATTTCTCAGTATTTTAAGCCCTGATTTTTGTTTTAGGTTGAACAAATCCTGGCAGAATTTAAGATCAGGGCTCTGGAGTGTCATCCTGACAAGCATCCTGAAAACTCCAAAGCTGGTGAGTTTCTTTTTTTTTGTAATGGGGATTGAACTCAGGACCTTGAACTTGCACGATGCCACTGAGCTAAATCCCTGGCCCCATCTGGTAAGAATTTAATAGTGGCTACTTCTCAAGAAAATGAACAACATATCGACAGAAAAGTTTTGTATGGTGACTTAATTTTCTTTTTTCTGTTGTGCGTAAGGCTATTCTTTCATTCAATGTCAAAGGTTCTTTGTGCTACTGGATGGTAGGAGAGGAGAGGACTGTGAAAGACCTTTATATTTAAATTTTTTTTAATTTATTTTTTTGAGACAGAGTCTCACTATTTGCCAATGCTGGCCTTGAACTCGTGATGATCCTCCTGCCTCAGCCTCCCAAGTGCTGGGATTACGGGTTTGTGTCACTACACATGGCGAAAGATCTTTTTTTTTTTTTTTTTTTTTTGGTACCAGGGATCGAACTTGGGTCCTTGCGCTAGCGAGGCAGGTGGTGGAACCACTGAGCTAAATCCCCAGTCCCAGACCTTTTTAAAAAATAATAACATTCTTTTAAAATTTTTCTTCTTTTTTTGTACTGAGGATTGAACTTGGGACCTTGTGCTTTTGAGGCAGGCCACGGCACCACTGAGCTAAATCCCTGGCCCTAATAGTAGTCTTTTAATGTGTATTTTTATTTCTGTAATGTGCTGCTTTGTGATTTAAAATTGTCCAGTTTGTGCTTTATTTCATCAGCTAATGAGTGTTAACAGGACTTGAGTATTTTATATATATAT